TGTCTTGTCTTGCACTCCCTTCCCTCATTATTGTAAGCCACCCTGAGTCCCCTCAGGGAAAAGGGCGGCCTATAAATGTTAATAACAACAACAACAAAAAAAATTCCACATACCATTTCATTACCTGCAACTTCTGGTAACCCACCTGAGCCCTCTGCCAGCTCTCCTGCAGCCCTGCTATCCTGCCCACATAACATAGTGTCTGCCTGTGGCACCTGCACAGCATCCTCTCACCAGCAACCCCCTCCTCTGCTTCTTGCCTGGGACTCTCTTGTTTCCATTTAATGACCTTCTGGGTTTGGTGTTGCTAAGTGATCTGTTCACATGTTATTGTACTTTAAAACCATATCATTTAACAATAGCAGTCCCAGTCCAAATTGCTGTTGTAATTTGAGGATTATTTGTAGGACAGTCCCTTCCATTCCCAACTCTGAGATCCACTCTGGAAGAATACCATGACTAATAGTATCAAAAGTTGTTGAGGGGCCAAGGAGGGCATGCAGAATTACATGCCCTATATCCCGCTATTGTCAGAGTTGGTCCATAAGTATAATTGGTGCCATCTCAGACATATATAAAGCCTGAATTTGAACTGAAAGGGGTCTTGTCATTACGTCCCACAGGCAAACTTCCTTTGATCCTGGACACATTTTATTAATATCCTAAGAAGTTGCCTTTTTATAATAATCTTAGTTGGGGACTGTTATTGTGTGATTCTAAGTTTGATGTTTTAACTACTCTATGAGAAACAAATGCGCCTTTAATCACTTTCCACCAGGTTAAAGCTAACTCCTTATATATAGGAGAATTTCCACCCCCTCTATACTATACATGACGTTTTATCACTCTTTAATGTTCTCTGTTAAGTTTTTTCCCTCTATGCTAACTAATACAATATATTTTGATAGCACATTTAATCCATTAATTTCTCATTTTAATACATTTTAGCACTATAATATTCCTTTGAAAAGATAGCAATAGGAATTGCACTTAGGGTAAGAAGTATGGTCATATTGTATTAACTGAAAACATTGTGATGTTGACAGTTTTATTCATGATATTATCATTTTTGCTTTTGTGTTGAGTCAAGTTTTTAATTGATCTGATCCTTTCAACTGCAGGATTATTTCCCTTCTCAGATTCCCTCAATGCATACCCAATGCATATTCTAGAAGCAAATTTAAATTCTTGTTAGTTAGGGATTTGCAAAATAAAAAAGCTTCAATTCTAAAATACCATTCTTTAATAAACAAAGAGTAGCTAATCACCGTACTTATGTTTTTCCGTTTTGCTCTTTTTTGAATGTCTTATAATTATGGCTTTGTTTTTCTCTTTTATGTTCCTTTCACTTCTTCTGAATAATTAACCAAGTTTCACAAGGTATGTTTTTTCCTGATATTACTCCCCACAATTTAATCAATTTAAAGATAAACACTTTTCCTCAGGGAACATGTTTTAAACACTAAACTAAGCCTGCATTCTTCTATTAATTTAAACCATAATGCAATTGGTTTGTATGGGGCTTAGGATATTGTGAACTAAGCCACCAATATGACTAAATCAACACTTTTAGGTTTGCTTAAACCCAAAGAAGTGTGTTTTATTCAGTAAACCATGATAAACCAAACCCTACCATAATGTACATGAACCCCATCTTTAAGACTTTGGCCAGAGATCACTGAGAAAAATTCCATGATCCACATGTTTCAGTTTCTGAATCTCTGAATTAATTTTGATTCTTCATATTATGAAGCTTGAAACAAATTGCTTAAGCTTTAAAAAACTAACTGCATTGCAAGGGTTAGAAGCATATTCAGAAAAAAATCTGCAGAAAAATTAGGTGAGGAACCATTTCATAAATATCTGTGTGGGGAAATATTTTTTTATATGTCAAATGTTGCATTCAAATGTGTCCAAATAAGTCCTATTAAAATGTATTTACTTGAGGTGAGTAACAATTGAGGGCAATTCTGAAGGGAAGAATATGTGCCAAGCACATATACACTGTCCCTTTGAGCTTCTGTCCCGATTTATCAGCATGCAAACTAGAATGCAAAATATGTGTCAGCTGTTATTTACATGATGTTCCTTGTATCACAGGAAAAAAAATATCCTTAAGCTGTCCTTAAGTTTAATCATGGATGTTTTAAACCTAATTTACATGTAAGGAACTTTGGAGAAATAATGTTTGCAACTTCTTGAGATTCAACTATTTCAGACTAGTAATTATGTCCCAGGATGTAGTGAGCAACATATGAAAACACCTTTAGAAAATAAATGGAAACACTGTTGGCAGTGTAAATGAAGTTTTAATTTAATATATTATGCCATGGATGCAGAATAGGGGTACTTTTTGAGTGCCCATCTCTGAAAATTCTGATATGTATCCTGAATAAAATCAAGGAAATCTGTACACAATTATTTTCTTAGTCTTTCACTTTGGCCAGAAAAGCAATGACTATTGTGTAAAGTTGTTGGAAATCCTTACCTTCTCCCGTAGAAGTTTAATATCTATCAGCACACCTGCTTGTTTTTAATCAAATATTGTTTTTATGTTTGAATTTATACTTTGCAAATCTAAGACTTAAAGAAATAATTTTCAATAAAATAAAATTAAAGATAGGATTCCCCAGAGACTGAGATTCCAATGGAACCCAGCAATAACTTCCTTCCCATCTTCTTTCTTTCTTTTGTGTGTGTGCTTGAGTATCCAGCAGAGCGGAGGTGCAGATCAGCAGAGAGTGACCTTCACTGATCACTTGGACAGCTAACACTGCTTATGGAGACTCCGACATGTGGATTTTTGAACTGGCACAGTCAACATGCCAGGATGCCAGGCAAGCCATTCCAAAAGTGGGAGAAAGCCACTGGTTAGGTAGGGATATGGCTGAGAAGGAAGATAACATTTGAGAAAACATCACTGAAGAAGTTGCAATTTTTTCCATCTTATGGGATGAACGACATGGAAATATTTCACCTCCTTTGTGACTTCTTGAGGAAATGTCCTGATGTGAATATCGGGAAGCAGAGGAAATATTGATAGATAATGTGCAATATATCAAAGCAAACATTTGAAGGGAGTTTCCCCCCACCCCACACAAAGACATTCTTTGGTGCAGGAAAGTTCAAGTTGTAACTTTCCTGCTTGTGTACGTACTTGTGGGATTTTTTTGGTGCTTGTTGAATAACTGTTTTCTGCAACCAATTTAAGATTCTGCTTGCTGCTTTTGTAAATCCTGTCACTATTGCTTATCTGTTCATGCATTTTGCCACTTTTTACCTTCTGAATGTTGGAAAGGAGCTGTGAACTCTTTGTCTAACCAGAAGCAAGAATTTGGCTTTGCTAAATTTTATTATCCACCATTACTTTTTACAGATGTTTTATTCTTAACAGTGAGGACTGGGTTTTAAGAGATTATAATATGGAGAACATTTTATTATATACTATGGAAAATGAAAGAAGAAAGACGTAATCTTTTCTGCTCCCTCAAAGAAACTGTGCCAGTAAATGTTAATGTATTTTGGAAATGTGCATATAAATGATGGCTAGTATTTGTAGCTGAGCTGCAGTAAAGGTGTGATATCTCTTTCCTAGTATATGTGCTCATAGGGTTAATTACAGGTAAAACAAGTTAGTATTTTTAAGATACATACAAAAATAAGGCTGATAATTTACTGACATTAACAGAAGCAAAGCCCTGTTGTGTTGTTACTTATACATTCCAAGACCTCATAAGAACTTAACTATTTTTGACCAGCATCCATTCAGATTCTTGTTTATGACTATTGGTGTCTTTATAAATCATGATGAGAAGAGTTTAATAGAGTTTAATAATAGAGTCCAGTCCTTGTTCAACCATGATGACTTTGGACCACTTGCTTTTTCAGCCATAATGTCATTAGATTGTTTTGAAAGAAAAAATAGGTGTCTCTGTGTGAAAATCATTAATGCTGCCAGAATGGTAAAATAAACTTACAATATTGTGTGTACAACATGATGCTTTTTTCTGTTCAGGAAAAATGTTTTCAGGAACTGGAAGTTAACTACCATAAAGGAGGTTCAAGAATTCTGTCAAGTACATGACTGCTAAACTGTGGCTTTTTTAAAATCACATCTTAACCAGCTAACAACATTCTACAGTTAGTCATGATTTTTTAAATGCTAGATTTGAATTACTGCCACTGTATTCAAAATATTCATTGCCTATCATTTTAGATGTATTATTGGTTTGCTACCCAACTCTGAGTTAGTTAAAAGGCTTAATGGAAGTATCTTGTCATAAATGAGAGAGCTGACATATGCAGAAAATTAAATTAAAAACCTAGGAATTTGTAATTTTATCATGTAAAACACTGTAGGACCAATTCTGATACTGCAGCCCACCTTCCACCAGGTTTGTGAAAACTCTAATTATAATTCAGGTAGCCCTCAAAAGCTGTGCAATCTCTGTGCCTGTGACAAGAAAACCAGGTACTGTGGAGGCAAGCTGTTCCACTGATTAATTGTTCTAACTGTCAGGAAATTTCTCCTTAGTTCTAAGTTGCTTCTCTCCTTGATTAGTTTCCACCCATTGCTTCTTGTTCTACCCTCAGGTGCCTTGGAGAATAGTTTGACTCCCTCTGAGATATTGGAACACTGCTAACATGTCACCCCTAGTCCTTCTTTTCATGACTAGACATATCGAGTTCCAGCAACCATTCTTTATATGTTTTATTCTCGAGTCCCCTAATCATATTTTTGTGAAGCGGCTTGCATTCAGAAACTGTGGAAGGTTTTTAAGAAGAGATTGGACAACCATTTATCTGAAATGGTATAGGGCTTCCTGCATGGACTACGTAGGAGATCTCCAAAATCCCTTCCAACTTAGTTATTCTGTTCTGTTTTATTCATCATGGTAATACATTACTTCATGCTGCTTTTATTTTGTTGTGATTCTAGAAGTTGTATCTTGTCTGCGCTTCAGTGAGGCATCCCTATGAAATAATATTGCAGAAAAGCAGTAGATTATCTATGTAACTGATTAGTAAGAAACTTATGGGGAACAAAATGGCTCTTAAGATCAATATTTTACTGCCAAAATTGAGATCTTTCCTACCTTACACTTTACCTCCTATTGGGATTAATGAAGCTTTAAAACTTTGAACCAATCTGACTTTTGGTTGGCTAATATTCTATTTTAAAGTCAGCTACTACTATAATTATATGCTTATTTAAAGTAAAATCTCCTTCAAGGAGAACTCAACTCTAGGCGACTTTATGAAGACATCCATTTAGTTCCCTTGGCAACAGTACATTACATTCTTCCAGGATGTTTCTCACCTTTCCTGCCTAGCCCTCAATCCTGGTTTTTCCGGGTAGTCTCCAATTCTAAACTAATCCAACCCTGTTTAGCTTTTAAATATAAGTCAAGGTCAGGTGGATACTGCCACCTAGCTGAGGATATGCTTATTCACTTCTTCTGTATTTGTATCATGTTAAATAGATTTGTCTTGTTCATGAGAGGAAGCTCACTTTTAAAAACAAAGTTTATCTGAGCTATAATTATTTGATGGATATTGATGCCTCTCTTTTAAAAATATATAGGCAACCTATGGCCTTCAGTTGTTGATCAGCCAAACTCCCCAACCAAACCAGCTAACAGATGACCACTCTCTTCAGGATTTGATAAGAAACTTTCACTAAAAGTTCAGAAGTATCCCTTTTTTCTGGGGAATATCAAAATGGAAGTAGCCATATTGTCAAGGACAATATTTCTGCACCCTTTCATACTGTCAAATTAGAATTATATCCTATTGACTAATTATGTGCCATCACGTTGGTATCAACTCTTAGCAGGCAGAAATATATATACTTTTGCCAAGATGTTCATCTCCAATCTGGACCTTTGGAGTGCATGGCTCATGTGGCTAAGGCACTAGATTGGAGGTTAGCAACCCCACTTAGGAAACATGAATGCTATTGTGTGACGGGGTGAGCTCCTGTCATTTGCTCCAGCTCCTTGATGGAATATGAAAGGAGACCCAAATGTGTCCTCAGGACAATGATGATATCACCAGCTAATTATTTCAACATAGAAGCTCATTAAACGGTGCCTCTGACACAAATGGTATGGGATCTGGACCTTCTAATTGTGGTCTAATTGTAGTATAATTGTGTCCCTCCATCTTGCAGTTATTGCCGCCTTCTCCTCTTTCCCTTCATCTTTCCCAACAGGATACTTCTTGCATAATGTACCCAGAGTATAATTGGAACTTGGTCATTCTTGCCCCAACTAAAAACTCTGAACTGATTTATTCTTAAAGAATGTATATCCTATGAGGAAAATTTTTGCAAGGTGTTTATTAAATAGTTTCCTAACATGAAGTAGATATTCATAATTTTGAAAGACAGCATGGCAAATAATGCTCTCCTTTGGAATTAAACATAAAGCTTTATGAAATATAAGTCAGCATATTTACAATGGTTGGAGAAATAATTTTTGTTCCCACATGACGTATTTGACTTGAGAATCCCCACTGATGTTATGGGTCAGTATCCAGTTTATATATTGTAAAACTCAATAGCTCACTTTATTATTATATAGGATTTTTATTTTTAAAAAAATTATATGAAAAAATAAATCACACTCTAGTCTATATGGTTTGTTCCATGTAAAGATAAACCAACCTCTGATCAAGTTCAAAATAATACATACATTCTGAGCAAAATACCTTGTCATTCTCCATATTTATAAAAGCAGTTAACAATAGATTTGATTTGACATAAAGTAGGGAGACATGTGTAAATTATGACAAAATCTAGTTATTAAAAATGGGAAATTCGCACACACATGCATACATATATACACCCATGTGCACGCACACATTCTTCTCTCAGTTTTATAGACATATACTTATTTTTCTTCTTTAATTTTATTCATGTTTAATATTTATTCCTCCTATTTTCTAAATGTTTTGTAATCTAGCTGGCATAATCATGCAGGCTTCAACAGAATAGTCACTCCAGAGTCAAGGAGGATGTAAGTCAACCCAACACCTCTTGTTGAGCATTAGAGCAAGAAGGATGGACAGTTTTGATGGTCTCTGTATCTGACATCTCAAAGTTCCCAACTTCATTATTTTTAAAGTTTCAATTAACTGAGAAAGAATTACACTTTAAAGAGTAAAGTTTGTCGTTCCATTTTATTTGTCTCCTTGCTTGTTCAGATTATTTTTATAGATGCTTTATCATATCAGTTTATACAAGTGATGCCCTTTTCAGAAGGCAACAAAATCAACAATTGTGTTACAGAGAAGGTTTTAGTTAACAAAATAGAGAGATTTTTAATTGTTAGATGAACTTTGCAGTGGAAAAACCCAACTCAATATGTTTGATAGATTCTTTTATTTTTATATGTCCATTTTATTAGTTGCTTTTGGGGCTAAAAGAGCATTCCAAACAAGCTTAAAAATCATTAAAAGCAAGTCACTGAAGCTAACACAAACTCACAAATGAGCATTCTTGTGTTGCTTTGCAAGGAATAGACCTACGGCTGGGATGATGAACCTATGGCACGCATGCCAGAGGTGGCACGCAGAGTCCTCTCTGTGGGCATGTGCGCCGTCACCAGCTGCTCTTCCTGGATTATCTTCGCACATATTGGAAAGATGAAACACTGCAAGATGAAGAGATAGTTAAGAAGATACTAGACTAGTGATGGCACACGTACAGAAGTCCTGGAAACTCGAAGACCAGCTGGCCGGCATGCATGTGCACATCAGAAACCAGAAGACCAAGTGGCTGGTGTACGCATGCGGACTGGCCAGCTAATCTTAGGGTTTCCAGAGGTCCAGTATGCATACGCACGCACAGGTACATTCCAGTTTGGGCACTTGGTGTCAAAAAGGTCCACTATCATTGACTATGGGATTTCTCTGAGGGAGGTTCCACAGATCAGAGCAGGAGAGATGTCATCAATAGTTTAGGTACTGGATAATATACCTTTTTTGTAATGACGAGATAGAATGAAAAATCAGTAGGTATCTGAAGTTGGACCACAACTTCCTTTATCCTTTCCACTGGCTATATTGACTTGAGCTAATGTATATTGGAATCAGGCAGTGTCTGGAACCTTGCAGATTTTCCACTTCTGTACTAGAAAGTCTTTTAACTCCTATCACTCTTTTGAATAACAGAATTGGAGGGGACTTTGGAGGTCTTCTAATCCAATTCCCTGTTCAAGCAGGAAACCCTATACCAATGGTTCTCAACCTTCCCAATGCCGCGACCCTTTAATACAGTTCCTCATGTTGTGGTGACCCCCAACCATAAAATTGGTGTCTCAGTTCCTAAGACCATCGAAAATATGTGTTTTCCGATGGTCTTAGGCGACCCCTGTGAAAGGGTCATTCAACCCCCAAAGGGGTCCCGACCCACAGGTTGAGAACCACTGCCCTATAGCATTTGAGACAAATGGTTGTCCATCTGCTCTTAAAAATCTCCAGTGTTGGAACACCCACAACGTCTGGACACAACTCGCTCCACTGATTAATTGTCCTAACTATCTGGAAATTTCTCCTTTCTTCTAGGTTGCTTCTCTCCTTGATTAGTTTCCATCCATTGCTTCTTAGTTTCCATTCCACTGCCTTCAGAATACATTGGAGAATAGTTTGACTCCTTCTTCATTGTGGAAGATCCTTTGAATTTTTGAGTTTCTTTCCTATAGTGAATCATGTCATTAACTTGCACA